GAAAAAATTTCTAGTTTCAGTGTTGTCATATTCAACTCAGTGCGTACTCAAGCTCACACACTTCTGTATTTGTATAGTATATACATAGGTAAGTATGCATGTTTGTCGTTTCTGCGACTATCCACAGTGAATTGTGTAGCTTGAATTTTACATGTTTTTGGTGTTCATTGGAAGGACATTGAAATGGCCAGGACAAAGAGATGAATCGTACAAGAAACAAAATTGTTTACGATGTAATAAAAAAAAAATTAGAAAATAAATAAATTTGTATATACTGGTGGCTGAAATAATAGACTCACCTTATCTTAATTTGTTTATGCTCATTTAATGTTAAATTTTTTTTTTTTTTATAAAAGTCTAGCTGGTTATACGAAAAACACCATTGGGGAATTCACAATGGTGTCATAAGGTCGTATTGTTGTATGTCGTAAAATTTAAAAGCTAAAATAAATTTTTAGATTACTCAAAACCACAACCACTTATTTTTTAACACTGCGAAAATTCATAATATGACGAATTGCGAACCCTCTTAATATATATTTTTAGGCGTTTAAAGTTAACGACATACAACAATACGACACTTACGACTCCATTGTGAATACCCCACATATAAATCCATATTTAATACTTTGTACAAAAAGTATAAAAATTCAACAAATTTTCACCAAATTTTCAAACTTCGTGTTCACTGCACTTTAAAGATAGTTTTGTGTTGCAACTCCCTGCCAAAATTCGTATGGCTTCATTCATTAAAAATAATATAGATTTGAAGAGCTTTATGAAGTGAGATTTACAAAAAAAAAGTTCTTTTTTATTAAAAGGGTGTTAGTTAATATATTTACGAAAGAATTTAATCCGGGAAATTTAATTTATAATCTTTTAACTCGATTCTAAGTATCGTGCACTTTCCTCAAAGTTGTATTAATTTAGTATTTACCTTAGATAATCACTCTAACAGAATAAAATTTTTCAAATAGGTGGCAACTCGATATAAAATTATTTTCGGCAGTAAACTTGCTTAAACCTCTTTAGTTTCAAACCAGTATTGTTATATTTAATTTATTTGATCAATTTAGTAATTGAATAAAATTTTTCAAACAGCTAACAACCCTCCTCAAAAATATTTTTTGCAGAAAAATTTCCTAAATCTCTTTAGTTTGATACCTATATTGCAATATTTAATTTATCTTGTCAATTAAATCAAATTGATATTTTCAAACAGCTGGCAACCTTCTGCAAAAATATTTTCTACTGTAAGCCTTCTCAAACCTCTGTCCTTTTACAACCATATTGCCGTATTTACTTTATCCTATCAATTTAGTTAAACTAAAATTTTCAAACAGGTGGCAACTCTGTAATTATTTTTTGCCTACATTTTAAGTTAGACCTTTAGAAATGCACCTGTGAAAACTGTATTCAATTCCATGCAATAGTTTTCGATTGATGCGCTTCCCAACATACAGACAGACAGACAGATGGACAGACAGACGGACGGACAGATGCACTGGCAGACAGACAAAAATTCTAAGAATTGTTGGTTTGCCTCTGCTGCTCTAGTAAACACCTCCCATATTAAGTTTTCTTTAATATATATAATGTACGGACATCGGCCTGTTACAATTTTATTAAATGTATAAATTTTTAGAAAATGATTTGTTATGCAGTTTTATAGCTTAATTTTCGGAAGTTTTCTCTTCCATATAAAAAAAAAATAAAACATACTTTGTATCAACAAAAAAAATTAACGGTATTTTAAAGACACTTGAAGTTTGCGCTTTATTATACTAAAATTGAATGGACTACAAAACTGCATACTTTGTCAAAATGCTAAATAAAAAGTTTGATATTTTGGTGAAAATTTTTCGAGATTTTATAATTTTTGTACAAAGTTTGAAATGTGGCTCTATATGGAGTTTTTGTATAATTAGCTAGACTTTTATAAAGAAAATATTAAAAACTAAATATACCAACGAAATGTAGCCAAAACTAGTCCATATAAGGCGAGTCTATTATTTCTGCCAGCAGTGTATGTATGTACCCGAAGGTGTTTGTAAACGTAAACAAGTGGGGGTTATGAAAGATAGAAAAATATGAAATAACACTTGAATGCAATCAAAGAGAGCAGAAGCATCAACAGCAGCAGATGCAAAAGAGCTCAGGGGTTGGAGCAATAAGTGTGGGAGGGGTGCAAACCACATGTATGCGTAAAACCTGCTTGAGGCGGTAGGTGCCGCATATGTACGTAAATATGCAACGTTTTATTAGTCGTTTATTTGTTTTTCTTTTTTTTTTTAATATTATTTTTGTTTTATTTATGTCATTGTTGGTTGCTGTGCAAATGACACTGACATCAAAATCTCGAAATATTCAACATGCAACTTGAAAAGTTTGTAGGTATGTATGTATGTACGGCTCTACTACAACTCAAACTATACACCGCCTCCCAATCCATCATACGCAGCAAAAAAAAAAAATTGCATGCAAGTGCGAATGCCTGAGGTACATAGCAGCCAGCGGCAGGGCAGCTGCATACAAGTGTGCTACACTGGTCAGGGCCGATATACTCGTACTGAGGCTGCTTCTCGTACAGCTGCTGCTCTACTGGCACTACAACGCTCAAGTGTCTATGCATTAATGGCAAGTTGCGTTATCTGGACCACAATAAATATTTGAAAAAAAAGCAAAATTGAAATAAAAATAGAATGCCATTTAAAAATATGTAAAATACGCGGGCGAATGCAGTTTCCTTTGCAATATTTATCAGACAACGGCGCACTGGCCGCGAGCATCCATGAATTGGACACTGAAGTGCGCCTAAATGTATGCTGAGGCGAACAAAAAAAAAAGAATAATGAAATTGCAAGTGATGAATGCACACTTAGGCACAAAGGGTCCGTCGTGTTGCTATTTTGGCTCAACGCCCATCGTTGTCCTGGATATAAGGGCATTAAGTTTTTCTTATAAAGCAATGACAATGATAAATTTTAATCGAGTTTAGGTCTGAAAGACGGTCTATAGTGGCGTTGGTGAAAATAACATCATTTAATATTGCCAGTTCCGCGCAAAGCTCGACGCTTTCGTTTTCACCTTCATTGCGAAAGCATCGGTTAAAATCGGTTTTGGAACTATAATTATCCTTGTAGTGAGATTGAGTGCCAGCTCGTTTAGAATATGCTGCAGAAATCAATTATTATTAGTTTTTTTTTTGGAAAATGTAAGCCTAACTAACTGTAATGATTTGGTAACTTTTTAATGTTGTATTTTTTGATGCTGATTCCAATTTTTCTAGCAGGTCTGTCTTTTAAGAAAAACCTGTTGAAATGTGAAAAAATTGCAAATTTTACAATAAAAAAAGAATGTTAATGAAAATCCAATTCGTCTGATGTATTTCACCTTATGTGGATGAGTTGAGTATAAATTTTAGTATTTAAAACCACCAAGGTTAGGGTTTTGTTTATTTGTTACAGTCTACACAGCTATTATTTATTACAGACTAATTAATGAAAAATAGAAAATAACTGTGTTTAAAGTTATGCACACTTGAATCGAAATCGAGAATTCCACTATACCTACATATTACATAATCGTTTCGATCTCGCAATTGGCTCATTTAGCACATAAGTAGTTTTACAAAATGAATCAACAAACAATTTATTGTGTCTCAAATCTCGCGGAGGAATATATAAAAACTATACAAACTAGCTAACTCTGTACATTTAATATAAAAATTAATGGTAATAAATGCAAAGATAGGATATAAACAGATTCGTCTGTCACGCAAAGTTTGGTCGGTCATTAAGTCGTGTTCTGTGGAACTACGATAGCTCATTGCATTTGCATTGAAATTCTTATTGTTGTTGCTTAGAGCAGATATACTCAATCAGTCTCAATAAAGGTGTCTGACAAAAAAGGTTCAAGAAGGTTTTATTTTAGAAAATATTTTGAAGAGTGCTGCCATTTTTTTGAAAAGTCTAATTTAATTGAATTATAAAAAAAATTATAGGAAATATTAAAATATGGGTGCCATATGAAGACGTAATGTTTATTTTGAACATATATAATACTTTTGAGGTGTTTGAAGATGGTTGCTACTTGTTAAAAAATTTTAATTTTGTTTATTTACCGAGCGAATTGAAGTGGGTTTGAAAAGTCAAATTATACTCAATTTATTACCTAATTGAAATATGAAAGCTTTAGTTCGAACATTTAGAACGTTTTATGTGTTTCAAATGGGTGGGTTGAGTTAAATATTAAAATATGGGTATCAATCGAAAAATCGGAGGATTGCCACCTGCTAAATAAATCCAATTTGATAGCTAAGAATTAAAAAAATGGTTTTTGGATGCTTTGCTCGTTGCTTTGCTGGTCACTCCACCATGTGCTTACTCTTACGCGGAAA